ATCTTTACTCAATTACAGTACCATGAATTTTCAAAAATTGCAGGCAAGAAAGGGAGAAGAGAACATGCGGTAAACAGGGGTAGGAAGAAATTCAGGTTAATGGCACAGGTGGAAATTTTGAATTCCTATCAAATGTTTCTCATATAAATTCATTCAAAAGAATTAAACCAGCTGACATATGGCAAATAATAATACAGGTGAACCTTGAAAACTCAAACCTCCCTTGGTCAAATACCCCCTACGTCAAATTTTTTAAGGTCCCCATCTGAATCTGCTTAGAAACAATACACTAAAAGCCTCCTAAAGTTGAAGGCTTTTCCCTCAAGCCTCCATAAGTCAAATATTCTGAGGGGTGTTGGCCATCATTTCCTTGACCCAAGAAAGAAAAAAGCAATAAAACAGAAATTGATGTGTTTTAAAGGAAGGGAAAGATGTAATTGGGCAAATGAACCCCTGCCTCCAAGTTCAGCATCCTTCCAACTCATTTAAGAAGCTATTAAAGGCCCAGAATATCATCATTGACAGTTTTGGGCAATTTTGTCAAGTTTCCCAGAACAAAAGGGATTTCTATTGTAGCTCAAACCTGCATAATTCAAAACCTCCCTCACTCACATTTTTTTGCTGGACCTTTAAAATGTTACAGAGAGGGTTGACTGTATAAAATGAAAAAACATATACTGGTTCAATTTAGGTGTAAAGGTAATTTTCTACATAGTTTATTTTTGAGATATAACAAATTTGCAAGGACTCAAAAAAGAGGATGCCCCTTGAAGTTAGGGGTGCATCTTTATCCAAATTTAAGGCATAAAAAGTAAAGCTCAGGTTTTCTTTGAAAGCGAATGGTACACTATTGTAAATGCAGTCTAATTTTTGAAGAGGGATCAATGTCACAGATGGGAACTTAATCAAAAATCTTGCAAATTGATCTCTACAGGAGGGCATCCCTGAGCTGATTTTTTGCTTTTATAATTTCCCAAGGCTCTCAGAACTTTATATAAGGAAAACGATTCTGTCATTCCTGCGAACAAGTTTCACTCAAATTCTGAAAAAAATACACAATGGCCCAGGGCCAAGATGCAAGCTATGCGGATGCTATAACAATGTCAAAGATTTTTTGAGAAATCCGAGATACAGATGGAAAAAATGACGAAATAAAAATCTGTCACGCTGTATTGCGTGAATTTTCAAAATAGAGTAGACGAGTACGATTAATTGTCTACAAAACTTTCATAATAATTTCGTATTTTGCGATTTAAAAAAACTGGCAATAGAGTGGTCTGTATCAACCATCATTTGTTAATAACGGGTGAACGAAATATCAACACAGTATTTATTGCTATTGTACTACAGTATATAGAATATACTCATTAGTTTGAATTTCTCAACCTTTGTGTGTGAGAGAGAGAGACTAATAAATTTTCTGTATATAGTACATATATTTTGAATACGGTTTATATACCAGCAAGATCTAACCCACCGATCGTTTCACATTTGCAAGAAATTTGAAAGATATCGTTATCAATGGCATATTTGTCTATGAATGAATTGTTGAGAATATAAATCAATTTTTTTTCAATTTCCCGCAGTTCCGCACAGATATTAAACAATGCCAAATCGAATCACAGTCATCAATGATATCAATTTGAAAATATTACACGGATTATTCAAATTCACCAGCATTCTGCACGGAAACGCGAATATGCAAGATTTATTACTGTACAACTGTACAAGAATCGACAACACAGTATTCATTCCGAACGGAGTACTTTTTTATGCGAGAACGCAATTATTACGGTACATATTCGAACTTGAGAATACTGTATAAATAAAAATTTTAGAGTACAAAATTTCCATTGCAACCATATATTTGCTTCGACATTTCGGAAAACCATAAATGACTCGCTGAAGAAAACCGAAAACTTCGGAATTAACCTGCTGCTGGCTAACTACAATTACAATACTGTATACATTATATGCAAGCAGGCGTTCTTCAGCAGAAAGCTATATATACGAACAAGCTAAGGGAAATAAGCCAGGTAAACCTCAAATCTAGTACAGTATTTGAATTTCTGGTGAGGAGTGAAATATGAGAACCCGTCAATAATGAGAATAAATCAATGAAAATTTCAGGAGCATGCCTATGAGTTCCAACCTGGGATCAAGAATAAAATGACCAACGGATGACATATTCCGCTCAATTCAAGATCATCTATTTTCTTATGCCTGTTCATTAATCCAATGAATCGATGCTACTGAAAGCGTTTATGTCGAAGGTTAGAGTAAAGTTAAAAATCTGCAAATGAAAGCAGAAGTTTGGCAGAGATCTGAAAGCATTTCCAAGCAGTACACAGAATGGGGAAAAGCTGCTGGTTCGGTTCGGGGAGCAATCACCGGGAAAATGCGCTTATAAGAGAAAAGGGGATAGAATCCCGTCTCAACGGATTGAATGGGAGCCACATATGTGAAGAATACTTTCCGTAGAAGGTTTATCTGCTAAAGTTGGAGTTCTATACTTGCCCTGAAGAAATGGAAAAATTATGCTGCAGGGCAAATTTTCTTCTCCTTTTGCTGGGAACGCCTGTATGGAGCTGCGCTCTGTTCTGTCCGGGTGACTGATGAGAGCGGTGCATAGATCGAGTCTGGAGACGCAAAACGCGGGCCGGGAATACAACCCCGCTTCAATTCTGTGGGCGTGTCCAGCACTGCAGGTACTGTACAGTATGCAAGTTGCAGCAAGTATGATGGGCCTAGAGATGGGGTATCTCTAGGCCCATCAGTCAAATTGTCCATATGGGGTGCTTAGACCTTGCCCCTAAGCCATATGAGATTTTGCAATAGAATTTAATGGAAGCCTATTTGATTGCTTCTCCTGTTCATCAAACAAATCGGGAATGAGTCCACAAGAATGATATAATTTTTTTCTCAACTTCAAGATACAGAAAATCAGTGTGCAGAATAAAATCACACAAAACCTGACCTTTTGGCTTCAAAAATAGCTCAAGAAGCAAAGAAAACTAAGTCTGGAATACTGTGAACAGATTGTGGAAAACCTTTTGAAAAAAGAATCACAAAATTATCCTGTTTTCACTATGATCAGGAGTAATTTTTAATGCAATGTATTTTTAATTTTTGTAAATCTGAAAAGCTCAATTTGTTAAAGAGATATCAAGACTTGAAACGTATTTTTTATTTCTTCTAGAAATACTAGATAGCAGTTTCTGACTTACTGTATCTTGAGACATTATCTGAGACATCATGTCAGATTATTATTTTTTCATTTCAATCGTCCCTGAGTCAAATTGTCCATATGTGTGTTGGGGTCCCACTTTGCATCGCAGAATGGCGCAAATGCGCAAAATATGCTAGAATTATGCGAAAATTGTGGGATAGGACCTCCAATGTTCAGCTATAGTGTCATATGCAGAAAAGTTTCCTTGGTTTGATGCATATATGAAATCAAACTCATTTTTTCAAATGTTTTCTCTTGATGCTGGGGTATCTTCTTTCAACGTACATTATTGGTCCTGATTTACGGATTTTCAAACGACAATTTTTGGATATGATACATGTGGTGCTTGGTTTAAGTTCAAGGTTTAACTCGATCTATGAATGGAGTTTTTTTATTTAGGTGGGTGGCGTTTCTAACTAGCTAGAAACTACTAGTTCCAACTAGTTAGAATATTGCGTGCATATTCTAATTAGCTAACGAATGCCCACTAAACCACTTACCAACGTTTGCTAATGCGCAGCTGTTATTTAGAGCACGCGTCTGTAAATTACGTGTTTGCGCAGCAGATTGTATTTGTATGCTGTGTCCACTCAGCAATTTGCAAAATTATTTTTCAAGATTGTCTCTATGCTGGAATTCTTAAATCACATTTGAAGTCTACCCTTTTGGTGCATTTAGAAAAAAATAACTATGGATGCATTTAAAATAGATAGTAAAAGTGCGCAAATGAGTAAATGGGTTTGCTTTTAACTGAGCTGATATTATTCTTGCGTGACTTGCATAGATTTTTGAATGTGCATTGATCATGAAGGAATTTTTTTCTACTTATTTTTTTTATTAAGAATATGCTGTACATACAATTGCTTGCTCATTTATAGGTAGAAAAGTTGTATCTATGAGAAAATTATGAGAAGCGTGTAGAATTTCGTTTTTTTAAAATCTAGAACCAAGTTTTTGATGCACGAGTATGCTGCACTGTACTGTATAATGAACCGTAGTTACCATAACGTTGGACATCAGCAGTACAGCACAGAATGTGTAATCCAGGTTTAGGTTGTGGTTTGTTGTGAGATCGATGCCAAAATGAACATGGCCGCGCTGATCTTGTGGTTGTAGGAGATAAGCAATAGGTGTGAGGGATGGGTGGGATTCGCGATCCCGATCCGGTGTCAATGAAATTAAAATTGATGCTTCACTGTGATATTCGTGATCGGTTTGACGAAATCAATTCCAGCCTTGACTTCATAATGAAGCCCTCTGATCGCATTTGAGATGATAGGCTTAAATTCTTCCGAAACGAAGTTGATCCAGTTTTTAAATAAATCCTTACGAGAGGCCAAATTTTGCGCGTTTGGAAAATTGTGGAATTTGAACTATTCTGATAGCTCCCTTCCTCACTTCACGCTGTTCCGTGTGTACAGTGAATTCTGTGACGGATTTCCGCAAGTTTTGGGTGGTATGTAGTATTTAACCCTGAACAGAATTCGGAAAATGAAGGGGGCTGTAGCTCCGTATATTCGTCTTGCTGATGTTATTTTCTCCGTGGATGCGCAAGGTATTGTTTTATATTCTTGTGTGGACTTCTAGTGGACGGAAACGTTTCTGCTTAAGTCTGCTGGTGTACCGTGGCAGGAATCGCTGAGACCACATCTTCTGGTAGGAGACGATGTTGAGGAATGTGTTGAGATCATTTACCAGTCCGTTAGTGTCAAAGAAAATTCATTCTTCAGTTCCATTTCAAGGTGAGAGTGCATTCGTAGAGGTATCGAAGATGGCCAATCCTCAAGTGGACGTAAATTTGACTTTTGTCACCGGAAACGCAAACAAACTGAGGGAAGTCCAAGAAATACTGCCGAACACTGGCGGTTTGAAGGTTTGTGTTGTGCTAGCATACGTTATATTGCAGCTGGCCATGCATAATATCGATTGTTTTTCTTTTCCAGGTTTCTGCACAAGCAATCGATCTACCGGAATTTCAAGGTGAACCGGATGATATCATCAAAGAAAAATGCCGTGCAGCGTTTCTTATTCTACAAGAGCCTGTTCTCGTTGAAGATACATGTCTCTGCTTCACCGCAATGGGTGGTCTCCCCGGTTCGTGTCGCGCTAAACTAGTCCATCTGCATTTTCTACATGTGTACAACTTTCTTCAAACTGTAGTGTACCATTTCTCTCGCCAGTTCTGGAATGAAAAGCATGCTTTAAGGCCTGATCTGTATCAAAGCTTTTCACCAGAAGTCCCTGACCTTCGTGGTTTTCAAGGCCTAGCATGATAGTCTTGCGATTGTTGGAGTTCAATGTTCCATGATGCAGGACTCTGTTGCAGGCCCGTACATCAAGTGGTTTTTGGACAAGCTCAAGCCTGAGGGCTTACACCAGATGCTGACTGCTTGGGATGATAAATCAGCGGAAGCCATATGTACTTTCGGATATATGGCGAATGAAACCGACGATCCTGTCTTGTTCAAAGGTATTACGCGAGGCAAAATTGTAAGCCCACGGGGTCCCAGAGATTTCGGCTGGGATCCGTGTTTTCAACCAGAGGGTTACGATCAAACCTACGCCGAACTGCCCAAGGAAATCAAGAACCAAATATCCCATCGTCGCCGAGCGTTGGATGAACTTCGAGCTTATTTCGCGAAGCAGTGAAATGGATTTGTGCCTTCGTTTTCACGATCAGTGAGAGAATTGAGTTGTTACTTATCTGTGTTCGGGTTTACTTCTTCTGGCAGGCGATTCGCGAGTTCATGTTGAGTGCCCCAACCGTGCTGAATTTGAACAGACCGCATGTTGTGATCAGTTCTGAATCGAAAACGCTATGGTGAATAACATTTTTGTGCTCGTCTATCCTGACATCGGTTGCGTCCGTTAATCCCACCATGGTTCGTTCTTCATCACCTGCTCCTTCGTCACCGGTGAGTTACTCATGGTTTTTAGCTATGATTGGAAAGCTTTTGTAAATTTTGTGGCTGAAGCACAGCATTTAAAATGATCCTCTACTATAGAATGTTTGTGACTTCAGTCGTTCGGTATGCATTCCATCCGAATGGAATTGGTTCAAATCGGGATTTTTAGAAGCAGTTTGCTTCCGCACGGCGAGAAGCTCATCTGTCAGATCATTGAAATTCTTACAGTAATCTGGGCAGCGATTCATGAAACAATTTAGCACTGCAAACGGACGAGAAAGGGCTTGATTCGCGTCAAGACGGGAATACAGTATAAGTTTTCCATCTTCGTTTGGTTGTGCGGATTATTTCTGAAAGCTAGCAAACGTCTAATGAGTCATAAAGGGTTCTTGATATACTGTACTTCGTTTTTTCGTACTTGAGGTGTTGTAACTTTGATCTTTTTTTTTCGGTGTCGCATCGAACAATTTTTCGATTTAGATAGCGTATGGCTTGTGATCATTTCAACTGCATTTCATGACTTTGATGGATAGGAGCGATACGATGAAAGGCTGTGCCGTGAAGATGACTGTTTGATCAATGAAGGAAAAGTAGAAACATGTTATGGCCCTATTAGCCTTCTACGTGGGGGGACGTATGTGAGATGGTCGTTCACTAAAGGTCTTGATGGTCCGGATTTGTTGTTGATATTTTCTTGCGGGGTGGACGGTAATCTTATGGTTTGTAAGCTAAACCGTTAGCATGGTTTCTTCTCCAAAATCTTCGGAAAGAGTCACACAAAAAGCATTTTTTGAATGTCCGTTGAAAAAAGTCTTTTTCATTATTTTTTTTGCCTGCCACGTTTTTTAATTTTCAAGATGACTTTTTTCGCTTTTTACTCGGCAACGTTGAGACGAGATGCTGATTGAAATATTTGCGATGAATTAAATTACTGTTCTTGGGTATTTTTTTGGACACGTAAAGCCCCTGCTCCGTCTTGAAAAAGATTTCTTGCGCTACGGGAAGGATCCATCCGTTACGTGACCTGGAATATCTGCGGAAATGACCGAAATGTATTGGAAGGCGCATTCCGATGCCGGCATGCATTGAATGGGTTTGGCCTACGGTATTCCGGAGTCCTAGAACGAATATTTCACTGTTCCGAACTTCTGAATATTTCTGAAAGCCAAAGCGAGGTTGTGATCCATCTAACCTGCAATTGACTTGGTTTCGATTTCGGTCAAGAAGTTTGTTCCAGTCCCTTTATGCTAGCTGGGTTTGCCCTATTGTGTATGGGGAGGGATACGAAATTTGTTCGATATCCGTTCATCTTGTAGGTCAGGCAGGGACCTCAGGAACCCTGCGGAGGAAATGAGAAGCTAGGTTCGGAAGTCGCAGATTTTTCGCCTGGGTGTCGCTCCTTCTCCGGATTCTGATCCCTAGAATCCTAAATGCATGGAGCATGCTGCGAGCTTCTGGATTCGATGCTTGCAACCTTCTTTTGACTTGCTGCTATTTCATTTCTATTCGGTGATCCTGTACCATATTTGAAATAATCGAAAATTCGACCTTCTTGCTTCCAAGGAATTACGCCATGGAAATTTACGAACACAGCATCATGATATCTGTACATGGATGGGGCGATTGTTTTATTCATGTTATTATTAATTTCACGGGTGGACTCTCAACGGTTAAATCAGAGGGACCAGATGAAATTCCTTCTACTGAGAATTTCGCCGTAGAGAACCCCTGCATGAGAGAACCAGATGAGACAAAAAAAAATCGTTCCAAGGAGAATATTGATATTGTACTATGAAGAAAGTCCACTTGCATTATTATTGCGAAGTAAAGATATCTGACTATCTGAGACATAAGTAACTCTTGGAAATACTGTAACCGTCATCATTGTTTTGGATTTATATCTGATCAGGTCATACCATTTAAAGATATGTTTTGCCGTTTTTCTTCTCATTTGTTTCTTCGAGAAACCTTTCAAAATATGCTTCAAGTGTTTCCGACCCAAATTAAGTGCTAACAAAATACCGTGCATCTCTCGGGCCACATCGAAGAACTTTTAGTATGGAAGGAGGATGGTTTGAAATCTTGAAAGCTGTTACGAAGAAGTAGAGGAAACTTCCGCAATGGCAATTCGTATTCTCCGTAGGTTTTTTTCTTTTATGAGTGCGCTCTGATTTAGGACGTGTCTCGATCAAATATCCATGGTGTTCAGACTGGATCGGTTGATTTGAATTTTTTCGTGAAATATGACATGTGCGAAGATCGTAGAAGAATAATTGAGTTTTGTGCGTTTCAAGTTGCTCAGGCTTCTGTTTCATGTGCGTTATTGTATTATAAGACCTTCTCACCTGTTGAAAAATACGGTACTCCTATATTTACGTTCATTCAAACCCCGCTTTAGTGCCATCATTTGTCCTTGAACATTTTGTTGCCCTTAGCGAGGGTGGCACAAAATTTGGGGAATGGTACGATTTGTATCGGAGGAAGGTTTAGTTGAGGTCTTGTACTAGAGATAGAATAAGCTTGTTAGCAGAATTGTTACACCATCGATTCAGTTTTCTAAGAGAGAAACCCATGAAAAATAATTTGAGGCTCAAATGATTTTTCATGAAGATGATCTTCACTGTGGAGGACATATAAATAATTCCACCAAATTACACGTAATTTCGAAAATAGAATTTTCATAATATCATGAGCATGGGCGTCTGCTTCTATGTATGATAAGTTGATGACCTAATGATGTCCCGAGGAAAGGCTTTACTTTATTTGGTTTGAGTCTATTTTTCATCCAGCACAAGACATTTTGTGGCACCAAGTATGTTGGCGCTGAATCGGGGTTTCCTTTAAGAACACAATGGAGTGAGATTCGTTCCAGGGAAATTTGTGGCGCATTGGGATGGTGGCACTAAGACGAGGATTGACTATAGTTCCTAATGTTAATTTTTAAATTTGTGATATGGTTCCAAGTTAAATTTGAATTCACCTTTTGACTGCCGAAGCATGCCTCTGAATCATAGAATGGCTCTGCTGCGTGCACGCTCAGTTAATCTTGACGGACATACAGTATCTCGTTTTTGTCGCTTGCATTTTTGGATGCTATTATCTCATGCACTTCTTCCCCCCCTCCCCCCTTTCTTGGGTAATGCTTATGTTAATTAGTGAGGTATGCGATCCTACGCACGTTGTCACGCTAAGGGGAGATGATTTCATAAAGGACACGCGGAGAACGGAAGAGTTCCGGTTGCCGAGCTCTTGCTGAGCATGAAACGAACAGTTTTCGGAAGAAGTCCTCTTGAAAACTCGTCTCGTACGTAACTTGATGATAATCAAAGTGCCATTTGATGCGGAAGTTGAGCGAAATTTTTCCCAAGTTGGAGACTTGCTTCCTGGTGCGCGGAAGTGACACTTGCCTTCCTCTAATATATCGAGAAGTTTTATTCATTCGCCCCTCTTATCGTGTTCAATGAAGGCGTACAATTTATCGTCGGGATGTTCGAGACAATTTCTGTTTCAATTCACGTCGAACACTAAGAAGAAAAATCTTTCTTCAGTCGGAGCCGACGTAGTTTTCATTATTGCTTGATATTCCAAGAAGCCAACGACATTCTGTTGTGTGACTCCTGAAGATGAGTGTGTCAGCGAAAATTCGAAGTGTGGTATGAAAATATTCAAATGTCGCTGTGCAAAAATCACGCCCGACGTCGTCCATTTTACAAGACCCAGACCCAGGAGAATGTAAGACCAACAAATTTTATGAGCGAACCCTCTTATATCCCATTTTCTGTACATGAGTTCGTACGGAAATTAAACTTTTAAAAGTCGTCCGCTGAATTTGCTGATGGACTTTTACTACTTTGTGTCTCCCAGAAACAATGAATTCGTAATTGACATCGGATCTGTATGTCTTCGTAATTTACTTCGTCCCTTTCGATGAAGTGCATCACTCAAATGTAGCAATTAATTGAAATATTTTTAGGTGCCTTAGAACTAGAAGTGCGAGCAATTTCCTCCAATATTTTAAACGCACTTCGATCAAATCCAACTTCCAGAATCGAAGGACTCGTGTTTATTTTATCGTATATACTGTACTCGAATATCTTTCTCGAAAATAAATGGTGGCAAAAAAATGAGGTGCCTGTCATTTTCAGGTATAAAGGTTCAAGTGACTTAAAAATATGAAACTTTTCTCCCCACTTTTCAAATTTTTTCTGAGTTCTCTCTTTGAAAGTTTGAATGGTACTATTGTTCGCATTAAAACAAAAATCGCCGTTGAATTAGATTTTCAATTGGGCTTCACTTTAGATTTTCACCCAACACAGTTTTTAATTGGAATTTTGGTGACTGAAAAATGAGGTCTTCAGCGGGATAAGATTTTTCCTAAAACTCGATCCAAAATTCGAAGGTGTTTGTCTTACTCGAGTGCGAATGATACTGGAGTAAATACGGTACTTGTCTCCTGTTACAGGTGAACTCTCCCCATAACGATCTTATCTATCGCGATTTCCTCTATACAAGGAATTTTTTGTGGCCCCAAGGCGTCCTCTTCCCAAGTTATACGGGTTGTGTGCACCGAAATTCTCTACAGGAAATTTTTTCTGGTCTCCTGAATTCTGTTGTAGAGAGGGTCCGTGTGTATAAGCTAATCTGCAGCATTTTCTACGGTAATAAGAAATTTAACTAAGTTGCCCGAAAAAATTTATTGGTTTTAGGGCTTGGGTTATTTAATTATAAACCCTAATTTTGTTTCCATAAGTTCGTTCGTCAGAATCGGTTGCAGTATTTGCT